TCAAATCTAAGACGTTTGAATTTACAGTTCATCCCTGTTATCATTTGAACTACTATTAAGTTGTGGATTTGCTTCTGCCACCACCATTTGTTCCTTCCGATGGTTTTGACAAAGTTGTTACTTGATGATAATCAAAATATGCAAGGATGAGCTCGGATGATCAACTCATACATCTCCAGCCTGGGAACTCAGCCCATTTTTGATGACCAGGAAGTTCGAGGTCAGCATTCCTTCTCCAATAGCAGCACCTCTACCAGTGGCACCAATTAATGACAACTATCTTCCACTAAAATGTCATGTAAATCGTACCAGTCGCATATCCTAGTAAAGAAGTTACAACTACCTTAGCATCCACCATTGCCATTGCACAATAGATGCAACCATTATAAGAGATCTTCGGGAATCACGTCATAGATTAGGCAAGACCTTCGCCAACTATAAATATGAGGCATTACCCTCTCAAACGTTACACAAGTAATTATAACATAATTCAATACTCTCTGTAATTAAGAATTTCCAATGAGAATGGATTAGCCGAACTCTCGAGCTGGTAAACTACTATAAATTTTGTGTGTTAATCCTATTTCCCTGATCTATTTCTCAAGAGCTTAAAAAGTTCAAACTGAATTATTCAGTGCCCATCAATTTCTTATCTCTGCTCTACCATGCTGCATACATCATCATTACTCATAACTCATCATGATAGCTTGGATATAAAGATTTTAGGAGGCCCCAGACCCCAAATATGCTTATAGTTAGAGAATTATAAATTACTTCAAACTTAACATAGTTTATTGGTAATACACGCAGCTCAATTTTTTCGTTGGTAACATTATGTTATTGGATGTCCCGAATGAAAGTATAGTAAGAGAAGTATAAACTACTTGATATCGTGACTTTGTGTGGTAATCACTAGTCCGATGTACATTCGGTAGAGATGACTATTGTTTGTTAAAAACGGGAAATTTCACTATTTATTGAAGAGTTTACAAGAAAAATTTATACCTAAGAAATTAAGAAGTCTTCGTCGATGTCATTTTTTATTTTTTTCAGTGGGTGGAGAATTTTCTTTCTCGGTATACCCCAAATTTGCACACAAACACAATTTCAATACCACATATCAAGCTATCTTTGTCCTAAATCTAAAATATCGTGACATGAGCTGGGATAGAGATTAAACGAAGGGGACTCAACTATTAAACCATGCATTAGAGTTATTAAATCTGGGAAGAGATTGAATCTGAGACTTATGGGTTACTAAATATCAAACTTAATCACTAAACCATCCCTAAGAGTTATTAAATCTATCTTTGTTATAAAATAATATGAGATGCGCAAACGTATTGAAATAGCTTGCATAAGGAATTTGTTTCTACACTGCACTAATGCTTTGTGCACCATTTTTTTTAATTAAATCGATGTGAATTATTAGATTAATGAGTTCTATTAACTCTCAATAAATATCCAATAATTATGAGTACGTAACGTCATTTATTACAAAAAATCTAATGCACAAAATATTTTCTTATTACGTGCCGACTATTATCACAAAAAAAAAAAGCAATATTTTTTAGGCGAAGGAGGAGTATGAGATAACTTTCAGTAGTTGAAACGGTAGGGGGCAGAAGTGAAAGGGTTGAAAAAATATACAAAAGCAAGCCAACCTTTTTTTTCTTTTAAGCTGAGAAGATGTGAAATTAAAAAACTATGCAGGTGTAACAGTAAGGTGTTTCTTAAATTCCTCTCATGGGGTTCTTTAGGAATCATTCGTATCATATTCGAGTTGTATTATTTTAGATTATCTTGAATTTATATCGTATTTGTGTAGATACGCATAATCCATGAACTTAAAAGCAAATACACTACACATATGTCCTCTATAAATTAAAAATCTATTTCATCTACGTTCGGTCAAAACAAAATGAATCATTGTCTTACGTAATAATTGAAATTAACAAATATATTTGACACTAATTTAACTGGTTTATTATTATTAGATATCACTTTGATATTTACCTCCCATTTCATCAATGACTTGGGAAATAGATCTATCACTCGAAGCCACGTGGTTTGGTACCCACCGAACAACCCTTCTATAGGTGCAGTGTCTTAATCCTTGGGGACAATACTCTGAACATGGCGCAGGGAGATTGGATCTTTGGCATATATTTGGCCTATCTTGTAACTTCAACCACATTTATTATTACTCGGATGATTCTTTTGGGAGGCAAAAATTACAATTGAACACTATGATTGAGGTCAATCTACAATCTACCCCATTCCTTTTGGTTCACCTTTAGTTTACATAGAATACTTTCTATAAATATAAAAAAATGGAAATTAAGAAAAAAAAATTTATGAGATTTGATATGAACAAAACTCAAAGCCAGGCCTTGATTGCCCAGACGCCTGACCAACCCAAGAGGTCTGAAGCAAAAAAGCGGGACCTGACATCGGCAAAAGCCTACAACCCAGCAATCCAGGTCCAACCCAAACCATAAGGCGATTCGGAGAGTAAAAACCCAATTCAAGTTATGTTTGGATGAGCAAAGGGGACCACGCGGCTTGGAGAACCACCCCTAACACTTGCAGCAATCCCAGAAGGTGGAGCACCAAGCCGCCAGAGTTCATGGCAACGGTAGCGCCGGATGAACAGGGACGCCGGTTGAACAGTGATCGTGGTGGCAGAAGAAGCAGGAGGGGGTCAGAAGAAAAGACAGCCGGAGGCTCTAAGAGAAGCTAGTATAAATAGATAACGATAAGAAGAGAATTACAACGACATCTCCCCCCACAAAAAAAAGATCGGAGAACATTTGAGAGGTAGAGAGCGTAGAAAACTGAGAGCGAATACCAAAATAATCATTCTTTGTAAGTGGACCCTAAGTCCCAAGTCACTAGAGACACTTTGCTGGCAGATGAATACATAATCCCAGCAAGCAAGAGACTCCATTGATAGTGGACGTAGCCTTAGTCCTTCGGCTAAGGTGAACCATTTACATTCCTTATACAATTGTTCATAAAAGATTAATCCACAATCTGCGAAGTCATTCTCACAATATCACCCCATCATAATCAAGCTTGGGCCCTAAAATCCGAGTACCATCAAGATATATGAAAAATATAAACACCTAAATTATCACTTTTTCTCCTCTTTCTTTTCTTCACCCATCACTCTTGATCACATTTGACCTCATTTGACCCATCTCTCTCTCTCTTTTTGGAATCCCAAAACGCTCACGTTTGTACTATCACCACATCAACTCACAAAATTCTGAACCCATCTTGAACTCTAATTTATAGCCTTGAATGCACATAATTAAAATTCTCTCAAGCCACCATTTGAATTCACCTAGTTTTGACTTATGCAAATAATAAAGGGTTTTGAGTCGTTTCGTTTGGTCGGTGTGGTATTTTGTTAAGGTTAGGGTTTTCAGAAAAGGGAAGATTAGGGAATAAAACAAACAAACAAACAAATACACAGAAAGAGCAAGATCGAGAGAGAAAAGAAGAAGAAAGAGGAGGAAAAGGGGACTACAAAATAGGGGTGAGTGGACATACGAGAGTCAATCAAGAGCTAAGAAAAGAAGGGCATTTGGAAGAATTGGAGTTTCACCGAGGTGTTTATGATATGTCTGGACTATAAAATGAATTATTCATGACTTGTCTAATTAAATGATTGCAATTTTGAGGGATCTATAAATGATTGAATATGTGGTAAAAATAGATGATGTGATGTTTTAAGAAAGAAAATATGTAAGAGATAAAAATTCAAGTTGCTAAATGCTTTATTATATAAATGTTAAGGTATTATGTTCAATTCAATGACCAAAAAGTATTTTATACTATAATAAATGTTATGCTTTCATTGGTTCGACCAGTTACATATATACTCGAAGTCTAACTCTACTTAAAATTTGTAAAAAAAATTTGAATCGAAATTGAACGAGGCACTACTTATCTTATTTACAATCCTACAAGAGGGGTTGTAACTAAAATGAAAAGCGAGTGTTTATATATATATTTTCATCCAAGACAAAGGGCCATTTCGTAAATCTCCGAAAATTAGCAAATGAAATTACATAAATTATCGGGGATAAAAAAGGAATTTAAATATTTTCCTTTTGTCTTTTTTTTTTCTCACCTGAAAAGAGCTTAAATTATTTTAAAATGTCTAGTCTCGTGACCCTCCCCCCTCCTCCCTCCCCCCCCTCTCCACATCTCTCTCTCTCTCGAGTGACGACTGGAGATCTTTACTTCTAAGGGAGCATCAGAACTTGCAACCTTCTCTTCCACACAAACTTTTTTCTCCAATCTTCGAAACCAAACGGTATGCCTCTGCATTTTTTCTTCTCATTTCCATTTCCATTCCGATTTCATGTATGTATAAATATATACATTTTGATATCTACAACCATTGTTGTTTCTAGTTTTGATTTTTTCTGAAATTTCTATGCCTCTTTTTCGTGGATCTCTATTTCGATTCTATCGCTTCCTGATTTCCGTCTCACTGTTGTAGCATTTGTTGCTCTCTCTACCTGAGATGCTCATTTGTTGTGTGTCTCTCTGTGTGCGAGCGCGCTCGTGCGTTAATTTATTTTTATTTTTTTAGCTCTCTGTATGTATAGTTTCTTTGAACTGGAGATCTTAGCACATTCAAGCGATCCTTGGTATTTTCCTTTCAGTAAGTTTTTAAGGGGTGATATGGTTTAATTTGTCGGGTATAATAAAAGTAGTCGGCTTATTACTATATTTTCCCCTTCAAAACTGCCGTCTAATTTACTTTATTTTGTTGAAAATTAGATAAAATATTGGCCTGCCGCCCCATAGACTGCCTGATCTTTGTTGGTGGGATACATTGAAGTCTCTTCCTTTTTTCTTTAATGAAATAAACTCATCTTGAGGAGAAAACCCTTTGTTTTTGTGATTCAGAACAAATCTGGGTTGTAGTGCCTTTTTTTTTTTTAGGTTCAGACGTAATGACATCTGATGTACCACCAGCTATGTCCCAGAGTATGAGAATAAGCATGTCTTCCTTTGGCTCTAGCAATGGATATGACACTCCTTCACACAACTCCTTTGCTACCACAAATGGCGATGACTATGACAGTGATGACTCCAATTTTGCACCACCGTAAGTTTCTTGCGTTCCTCTTGTAGCATGTTTTATGGTTGATGCTTCAGTATACTTGGTTTTGATGAATTCACTGAGAATTTTTAGCCAAAGAACTATTTTATCTGGCCTTGCAGCATTGTTGATCTTGTGATTGATGTTTTTTTTGCAGTACACCGTCGACTCTGTCAAAGTCTGTTCCACCAGAACTTGCTGGTGCGATACCTTTGATTGATAAATTCCAGGTGCAATTAAGGTTCTTTCATCTACACATGTGATAGCACAAGCTACTTCTCAGTCTAATTTTTGTTGATTGTTTCGAATATGTGCGAATGACCTCATTTCATATACGGCTCATATTCTCTTTCTCAATGGTTATGAAAATTTCAGCTTGCTATATTCGTATGTTTCTTTTAGGTGGAGGGCTTTCTAAGAGCGATGCAGAAGCAGATTCATTCCGCTGGAAAGCGTGGTTTTTTCTCTAAAAAATCAGTGGGCCCCCAAGTTAGAGAGAAATTTACGTTTGAGGATATGCTGTGTTTCCAAAAGGTGAATAGCATGTTGTTTTCATAGAAATATTTTGTGATTCCCAAAGTTATGTGATGAAGATTAAGTTGCAATCTTTTACAGGAACCTATACCAACTTCACTGTTGAAAATAAACAATGACCTAGTAAGCCGGGCAGTAAAATTGTTTCAGGTCATCTTGAAGTACATGGGAATTGATTCCTTTGATCGAGTGACCCCAACTAGCTTGGAGGAACGTATTGAGCTTGTCAGTAAACTATATAAGCAGGCCCTGAAGCGTTCCGAGCTCCGGGATGAACTTTTTGCACAAATATCCAAACAAACAAGGAATAATCCTGATAGGTATTTATATGTTCCTTTTGCTCATGCTGTGGGTGCAGTTACTGCTGTACCTTTTCCTCAATGTGCTTTTCTCTATCATTCATTTACTTAATTGCTAATGCATGTTCTTCTTGTTGCTTCATATGTTTCAGGCAATATTTGATCAAAGCGTGGGAGCTAATGTATTTATGTGCCTCCTGCATGCCTCCCAGCAAGGAAATTGGTGGATATTTATCAGAGTATGTCCATACTGTGGCACATGGTGTGATTTCGGATTCTGAAGTCCAAGTCCTAGCACTAAACACTTTAAATGCTCTGAAGCGTTCTGTTAAGGCTGGACCTAGGCATACGATACCTGGCCGTGAGGAGATTGCAGCTCTTTTGACTGGCAGAAAGCTTACAACTATAGTGTTTTTCTTGGATGAAACTTTTGAAGAAATCACGTATGACATGTCAACAACTGTAGTTGATGCAGTCGAGGTAGTACCAAAACTTGTCTGCGTTTATCCATGCATATATCTATATATTAAGGGAAGAAGTTAAGTGAAATAGAATATGTCTACTCTGTAAGGGCAAACAAGTATGTTTGTAGACTTTTATGAGGTTTGCGGAGCAAAAGATTTGTGGTGGACCAAACAAACAGTAAGTGATAATCTAGTGCATTTGCTACCCTGCTGAACTATTATAATGAAAGCTGCATTGATATTGGTTGCATATCTCCTTTGAATTGCCTGAAATAGCACATGGAAGTTCGCTGGACCTCAGGAGCAATTACATGGTACGTTCACCTGGTGCTAGTTGTTTATTGATCAAGAATAGCAGAATTCATTCAAGCCTATCCCTTAGGCTGGTTATGCTCCATAACAAGGTTCTTTTAATCTGTTGAAGGAAAACCTACTGGGTTGACGAGATTTTTGAGGCATAATCTATCTTATAACTTGGGAATTATCCATGAAATTTTACTGGATCCGAAAACTTTTCACTACCTTAGTATGTAATGGTCACTGGATTGGAGTTACTCGGTGTGTGCGTGTGTAAACTAATTCAATGATTATCGATGGCAGTTGGTCCGATCCACAGTCATCATATTTTGTGCCTCAAAGCATATTTTGCATGATCTTTTGGCAAAGTGAGAGGTTTCAGCCATGTTTTGGCTGGTTAATGTGCAGAAAGCCATTTTTTCTTGATTCTCCTGGAGAAGAATGGGAGCATACCTGATTCCTTTAATAGCTTTACTTGAAAGATAATGTGCTTTAACCATTCTCTCGTGGATGTACGCAAGTGGAAAATATTGGTTTAAGTCTTGATTGCAAATCTTGTGAGCGCAATGCATAATTAAGGATGAAAATCTGGGGAATGTTAGGTCTGAAGGAGTTGAGAGCACAAAGTTTACTTGGCCAAACTGGCTACATATAGTTGCTCTACATGTTTTGCTAAAGTGTTTTGGTAAATTACCTTTGCTTGTACCCTTTTGCTTCTATTTCTAATGTGATGCATTTTGTTGTTTAATTACCTAAGTGGTACTAGGAAGCCATTGACTTACAAATTTGTTATGGTGTAGTGAACACAGATTTTGTGGTTATTATGTCTGATTAACTTTTTTCTGTCCTTGAATATCTTTTTACAAACTTTTGTTGCTTCTCTAACGTGCCTATAAATTTGTAAGGCTCCTTTGTTGGTACAATAATTGCGTGTTTCAATAGTAAGTTCATTGAAGTCTATTTACGCCATGATGGTTGAATTTCATTTTCTAAGATGTCTGGAAATCATTTGACATAGTTGTACATTATATGCTTGGGATTCAATTTTTGTTAGGTCACTACATGCAGATTTGTTCGCTTTCATATGCATTGTGGATATGCTGAGAAAGTTGTCACTCTCAGTGTGAAAATTATAGAAGATATCTCTGCTGTTCTCTTTTGTTGCTTGCATTTTTTCACTTACATTATGTGTTCATTTTGGCAATTTATACAATATTTCTTAATGTGTCACCAACTTCAGGAGCTTGCGGGGATAATTAAATTGGCAGCATATTCTAGCTTTAGTTTGTTTGAGTGCCGTAAGGTTGTTACTGGGTCTAAATCACCAGATCCTGGAAATGGTATGCATTTCACATCCTCTTTTTTCTGTTTTATGGTAAAACTTCCTTAACATTGTAGTTTAATATCGTGCACTTTGATTTAATGTCATGTAGAGGAGCACATTGGGCTAGATGATAACAAATACATTGGGGATTTACTGGCTGAGTTTAAGGCAGCAAAGGACCGCAGTAAAGGAGAAATTTTGCACTGCAAACTGATATTTAAAAAGAAGTTATTTCGGGAGTCAGATGAAGCGGTGGCAGATCCAATGTTTGTGCAGTTATCCTATGTTCAAGTGTGTAGTCTCGCTATGAATTAGATTGTAGTCATATTAACCTATAGTTGACATTTATTAATTAACTTCTCAATTTCAATTAATTTCTTACTTCTATATATGGTGTTCACAGCTGCAACATGATTATATCTTGGGTAATTATCCTGTTGGAAGGGATGATGCTGCACAGCTTTCTGCATTGCAAATCTTTGTTGAGATTGGATATGATGTTGTCCCTGAATCATCCACGTCAGTAGTTTTCTTCACTTTCTTATCATTGTTGTACTTATCTTGTTTTATTGTAGTTTTTTCAATTCTGCTTGTTACTCTTGTGGAAGCCCCGTATTCTGTATCATGTTTGACATGTTTTTGTTCTGGTATAAAAAGCCATTTACATTTTAACTTTGCATCTCGATCTGTTGTTCCTGTTGGTAATTGTTTAGTCATAAGTTTTAGCTTTTTTCAGGGACTGGACATCACTTCTGGAGCGATCTCTACCCCGACAAATTGCAATTACTCGAGCAAAGAGGGAATGGGAGATGGATATTATTTTTCGTTATCGTTCAATGGTAAGAAAAATAACTTGAAATTTCATGTTCAACAAATAATATTTGAAGAAAATTGTGCAAACCTTCTTTCTGTTTTTCTATCCTGTCCTCCTTTTGGTTCTGTTTGCGTGTTAATTGGATTTTTTTTTTGCTTTTCCTTTTTAGAATTTGGGAATTTATGTTCTTATTTTATCTACAGAAACAAAAACCTTTTTTGTGTTTTGAGGAGTAAAAGTTTCTTCTGAATGGAGTATGACATTCTAAAGATATATCTGATTGTCTTCATTTGTTTCATTTTATGTTTTTGGTTGGAGGAGTATTTGACTCTCAGATTCTGTTGATTGCCTTCATTCTTTTTGCTATGGGCAATATATTTTAAAAGTTTATGTTCTCCCTTAAGATACTTATGTCGACGGTGCAGGAAAATCTAACGAAAGATGATGCAAGACAGCAATTTCTACGGATCTTGAGGACACTTCCCTATGGGAATTCAGTTTTCTTTAGTGTTCGCAAAATAGATGATCCCATTGGACTTCTGCCCGGAAAGATCATTTTGGGCATTAATAAGCGTGGGGTAAGTTGTAGATTATTGACTGGTGTACATTCACTAAAGATTTCGTTACTTCAATGATCCTAGTTGTGAATATTGTTGCTCATTTGTTTGTAGGTTCATTTTTTTCGACCAGTTCCTAAAGAATACCTACACTCTGCTGAGTTAAGGGACATAATGCAATTTGGTAGCAGTAATACTGCTGTATTTTTTAAGATGAGAGTTGCCGGCGTCTTACATATCTTTCAGTTTGAAACTAAGCAGGTTGTGAGCATCTCTTGATTGTATTATTGATTGGAATTTTGGCTTTTTTTGGTTGTTTGTCATACTGTATTAATCTGTCCATTACATATAGGGCGAGGAAATTTGTGTTGCCCTTCAAACACACATAAATGATGTTATGTTACGCCGCTACTCTAAAGCACGGCCTGCTACTGCCAATAGCTCAATTAATGGAGATCTTTCTAATAATGTTAAGCCATCCAATGTGGATTTTTATGAGAAACGTATCCAAGAATTGTCCAAAGTTCTTGAAGAATCGCAAAAGAATGCTGCTCAAGTGAGTAACTCAGACTATTGAACATGCTTATTTCCTATTTTTTTTCTTTTTATGCTAAGCTTTTATCTGTCTACAAACAAAAGAGACTTGATGGTGAGATGAATGAGAATTTCTTGAAATGTTGATTCCCCTATGTACAATTTACTTATTGGGGTTGGGGTGGGGGAGGGGTCTATTTGGATTCAGAAGGGCATATGTGTTTTTTTCAACGTGTATAATTTGGATGTGCTTTATCCCTTGGTTCTTGTTGGTTGAGAAAGTTGGTGTCAAAGGCTTTTAGGTAATATTCAATTTGCTTTTTCCTTTTTTTTCTTTTTAAAAGGATCTATTGTCTCTTTACATATGTGAACAATAATTTTGTTTTGTTGTGTCTAGGTTGATTTTCGTTTGGTGATCTCTTATCCTTAATTAAGCATTGGTGTGTATTGAATCTCACATCAGAAGTTTGTACGGGATCTTGGGTATATATAGGAACAATGAACCCACATGACAACTCCTTGGTTAGTTCATTTAGGTGAGTTCTCGTAGTTACTACAATATGGTAGTAGAGTTGCCCCGTGAACACAATTGTATGGGTTTGGGGGCATTGCACTGCAGGATTAGTGTTGAGACAAGGGTCGACCATGAGCTGTTTGTGGTATTTGTGTTTGATTATGGGAACAAACGAGGGGAGATTGTGACAGTCTGTGTATCTGCTGAATCTCACATTGAAAATTTGTCTGGGAGACATGGGTATATATGTAGGAATGATAACCCCAAATGACAACTCCTTAGTTAACCCTTTTGGGTGAGTTCTCGTGGTTATTATATTATATATGGGGAAGAAAACTGCCACACTATTGGCAAAAAATGATTAGTTGTTTGTGCCCCTTATATGGAAATTGCATATAACTTTTTACTAATCTGGTTATGCTCATACAGGTAGTCGAAAATTTACATGAAAAACAAAAGGAAGAAGTCAACATAAAAGAAGAACTAGAGGGCATGAAAGATAACTTGAGATCTGAAATGCAAAACTTAGCTGACGTTACTTGTGATCGTGATAAACTCAGATCTTTGTGTGAGGAAAAAGATTCAGAGCTTCAGGCAAGTATGGTTGTGTTTATGAAATCAGGTTCAGATCAGTTTCTTCATTTTATTTTCCTAAATTGGGTATGCATAGGCTGCATTGTTGGAGAAGCGGAGCATGGAATTCAAGCTGGCTAAGCTAAGTAATCAAGGGCTGGAGAACAGTATCAAAAAGGAGCTCGCTGAAGCAAACACCCAGGTACCTTGTATGAAACTATATTTCAATTCTAATGTCAGCTCAAAATTTTGATATGTAAATTTAATATTGACCTGAAGTTGTTTGAAAAATCTTTGGTACAATTCACTATGGTAATCTCTTTTCAAATCTTTTGCATGTGTTTAACTTTTGTCTTTATATGATAGACATTTGTCATTTCTTTGAGTTGGTTTGTTTAAGCTATTAATGATGTTTATAGGTGTTACATAAGATCGAAGATGAATTAAAAGTACGCTCTGTAGAGTTACATGCAGCAGAAGAAAGTAAGAAGCTGCTGGTTAATGAAAACCGATTATTGGAAGAGAAAATTTCAAGGCTTGAGAAGAAGAAAGTTGATGAGGTAATAATGTTATTTTTTTAATTGAATTCCATGACTTTATGTGTCCATTCATATGGTGAAGGTATTCATCTCTTTTGGCTGTTAAAATGAAGACAAGGACTCTTGAGAAGAACTTTGAACAAGAACGGAAGGCCTTGAGTCTTCGAGTTTCTGAACTTGAAAAGAAATTGGAAGAAGTCACAAAAAGCTTGGCTGTAGCAGAGTCCACTCTTGCAGTTAAAGATACAGAGTTGTGCGCATTGGAAAATAATCTAAAGGAATTGGAGGAGTTGAGAGAAATGAAAGAGGTGGTCAGCGATACCAAATTCTCCATTTCTTTTACCATTAATGGATGGATTTTATAGTCTCTATCTTCTTGCATTATAACTGAGAAGTTATTCTTACTACTAAGTTCTGGCTTTTAGGATATTGATAGAAAGAACGAGCAGACTGCTGCAATCTTAAAGATGCAAGGAGCTCAATTGGCCGAGTTAGAAGCACTTTACAAGGAAGAACAAGTCTTGAGAAAACGGTATTTCAACATGATAGAAGGTAGAGATCACTTCCTTTTCCTTGTACATTGAACTATTATTATTTTCAAAATCATAGGTGTTGGACATGGCTTACCTGCTAAGCTTAGCATGAAATTTAATCAAATCATACAGTTTCAATCACTTCACTTCGATCAAGTGGTAATATTGGTAAAAATTAGTGTCAATTAGCTTACATTTAAATATGAGAACGCATAAAGAGTACTATTGATCTCTATACAATAAATATCATAACCACTTAACTGTATACAAGCGACATTTTATTTAAACTTTAGGCTTCACCTTGACAATTTAACCAGCAACAAACTGGAAGGAACTTAAGTTCTAAACCGCAACAGACACCAACTCACATTGTCATACTACTCAAAGTAAGACCATTTAATTCCATAAGAACTTTCTGGAAGTTTAATTTTATTTTACCTGTGAATAGTGAGGATATCAAAAACAACCAATTTTATGGATCAAACGAGACCACTTGTAGAACCAAGATAAGATCTCAATATGATTTCAATTAAAATGTCACGAAAAGAATATTTCCTTCCAATTGAGTTTCACTGAATATTTGCTTCTCAGTTTTTCATTAAAAAAGTGGACTTTGTTAAAGGTTGTCCAATGTTGATGAGATACTCACACATGTATGGAGTGTTAGAGCTTGTCTCACATCGGTAAAACAATACATCTTGGACTAGTATACAAGTTTTATGAGCCTTTTCACTTGCTGCCATTTTTTTTTGAATGAGATGCTTTAGTAGTCTTCCACTTCGAAGTTGTGGATGTTTAATGATGACTTTGTAAATGGCTGGAAATTAATATAAAGGTCCTTGAACATTTTAGTATTTGTATATGAATAAGAAAGGTACGGATGAGCAATGGGATTTTAACAACATTTGATTGAAGCATGTTAAGGGAAAAAAAAAAAAAATTTAAATCGCTTGTTGTAGGACTCAGAGCATCTAGTTTACTGGGATTAACAATTTAGTATAATTTAATCTGGTGAGGGTACACCTTGGCGAAATAGTAAGGTTGCTCTAGTTTGACTTGAGCTCCAAGTATTCAAGTTGTGAAAATAGCTTCTCCGCATGCGGGGCAAGGCTGCATAAATCTCAGCAACTGTGTGGACTGGGCTGCTTATTTAGTATAATTTAATCTAGTGCACATGGATCAATCTAAGGCAATTTGACAATATATTATGCGTTGAGGTCCAATCATGTATGGGCGGTACCTACTCATCTAGGCGGGGGCCCAATTGGCTAAGCTGCCTTCCCAGCTTTCCAATTGCCAAATGGGGCTCTCATAGGCGATTTGGGTTACTCTGGTGCCAAGGTGAGCGTCCTTAACAACTTTGTTCTTATTTATTGTTGTCTACCAGAATCTATGAACAATAACAACTCTTTGTTGGGTCTCATATGCATCTCAGATATGAAAGGCAAGATTAGAGTCTTCTGTCGATTAAGGCCTTTGAGTGAAAAGGAGATTGCGGGGAGGGAAAGAAATGTGCTTACAAGTGTTGATGAGTTCACAGTTGAACATACATGGAGAGATGATAAAATAAAGCAACACATGTACGATCGTGTTTATGATGGTAACGCTACTCAAGAAGATGTCTTTGAGGATACAAAGGCAAGTTCACTAAACTCTTGAATAATCACTTAAATCAAGCATTTGTGCTATTAGCTAACCATATGTAATCCTTTTCGTAGACCCTAATATATCTAGGGTTTTATCAGTTTCATTTGATAGTTGTTTCTCATGTTTTTTTGCTCTCACTGATGCAGTATTTGGTGCAATCTGCTATAGATGGGTATAATGTCTGCATATTTGCGTATGGACAAACCGGTTCTGGGAAGACTTTTACTATCTATGGTTCTGATAATGATCCTGGACTCACCTTACGGGCTACTTTTGAACTTTTTAAAATTCAAAAGCGAGACAGTAAAAAATTCTCATTCTCCTTGAAGGTAACTATGGTGAATGTTAATAGTAGCTTGCAATTGTCAAACACCACAATTTTTTATTCAGTGAGTTCCTTTATTTTAATTCTTTCAAGAATTGCTGCACTTATTAATATCGTGTCATAAATTTCTGATCACCAATTGAAGTTCTCCCTAGTTATCAAACATTGTGGTATTGAGAATATAATGACGGTTATTACTTTTCTTTGGCATATTATTACAAATAAATTGTACATGCTACAAGTAGTGTTTTTTTATATCAATGACTTATCATCAATTGTGAACCATGTAGGCCTATGTGGTGGAGTTATATCAGGACACTTTGGTTGATTTGTTACTACCGAAGCAAGCAAAGCGTACTAAATTAGATATTAAAAAAGACTCAAAGGTAATGATATATATTGTGTTTGATGTCGTATCTTATTTATTTTCATATGATATATTAGGTTAAACTTTGTTTATTTCTTGTAAGTTATAAGGACCCTTTTTCCTTTTTAGCAATCGCCTATAAAAATTGATAATGTTTGAATGTATAGGGCATGGTATCTATTGAAAATGTAACAGTTGTATCAATTTCGACATATGAGGAACTCAAAAGCATTATTCAGAAAGGATCTGAACAGCGTCATACAACGGGTACTTTAATGAATGAAGAGAGTTCAAGATCTCATTTGATACTTTCAATTATTATTGAGAGTACCAACCTTCAAACCCAAGCTGTTGCCAGAGGGAAGGTACTGCCAGAATTGCATATTGTATTATACCTCATTATTGACATGCCCATTGTCTTAATTGGAGAGCTATTGCTTATGGACATACATTTTGTTTTTCCATTTTCTTTTTGGACTATGGGATGTAGATTACTAGTTTCCTGTCTTGGTCATGAATTAAAAAGATACGCCTCCAACCCCAAAAATTTTAAAATTTTTTTAAAAAAAATACTGTGCGCATTATATTGTTAAACTAGGTCATGTAAAGATACAAGACTCTTGTTTGTTACGTTATTTATTTCCATTTCTCATGTTTATCCTTCTCATTATGACTATTTTATATTTTAACTTCTTGTTGTGCAGTTAAGTTTTGTGGATCTTGCTGGATCAGAAAGGATAAAAAAATCTGGTTCTTCAGGTAGTCAGCTCAAGGAAGCTCAAAGTATCAATAAATCACTTTCAGCCCTTGGGGATGTTATCAGTGCTTTGTCTTCAGGCAGTCAGCACATTCCCTATAGGAATCACAAGTTAACAATGTTAATGAGTGATTCACTTGGTGGTAATGCTAAGACTCTAATGTTTGTGAACACATCTCCTGCTGAGTCAAATTTGGACGAGACTTACAATTCTCTCACGTAAGCTAATCTATCTTATCATGCACAGTTATGTTATTAATTTTTTTAAACTGTTTTACTGTTCATAGTTATGCCTATGTTCATGAAAGAGGATATGCCTTATGGGAGTGCTTATCAGGATTCAGTAATTTGTTTTGTAAAATGATACCATAAATTATTGAGTTATCATTAATAAAATAAACTTTAGTAGTCTCCACTGAAGACAGTATTAATTATTGATCTTCAGATTTGTAATTCCTTTAACACTATAGAGCAAGATGCCATTGTCTTACAATATTGGTTTGAATGTGCTACAGATATGCATCAAGGGTCCGGTCTATTGCAAATGATCCTACCAAAAATGTTTCATCAAAGGAAGTGGCTCGCATGAAGAAGCTGGTGGCGTATTGGAAGGAGCAGGCAGGTAGAAGGGGTGATGATGAAGATTTAGAAGAAATTGAAGAAGAACGTGTACACCCCAGAGATAAGACTGATGGTCGACATTCTATGTAGTGTTTATAGCTTCTGACTTGAGGAAAGACATGGTTGAAATTGACAACGTTCTGGCTGATTGTTATTCTAATATTTGAGGTCAGGGTGATCCAAGAAGGCTTTGTCAACATTTCCTATGATTAGATGGCAGCATATTGCACTAGGGTTTATTAACTTGTATGAAAATTTTGTTGAAAATATAGGGCTTAATTCAGTGTAGAAGATTTCACCGATGTTGTATAGTGATAATTTGTATATTTTGGATACGGTTTTTTATTGATTCATATTCAAAATGTGGGATGACCATTATTTTTATTTTTATTTTCCCAATTTTTGTTAGAAGTTGTAGAGCTCATATAGTAATCGCTCCAAGCAATCCTACAGGTCAATTGGGTATGTTATTGGGGGTGGTTTTCTTTTTTTGTTTCTCTGACATACTGTATTTAAAAAATTGTGTTTGACACATTATTTCAAAACTTCTCTAAGAACCCAAGGGATAGGCAAGTGGAGATGGAATGACCTGTAAATTGGACATTTTAAATTCAAATTTTGATAATTTCTTTGGAGGCATGACATTTCTTTGATCGGATCATAAAAGAGATTATTCAAAGTGTGTCTAAATTGATTTGGTACAATACCAAAAAAAAACCTTCTAAGACCAATAGTAGGTAGAAATAGATTGACCCATTTATTGCAAAGTTACAGGGAAAAACAAAGTAAACATGTATATTGACTTCGAGCCATGATATGTGTCAATTATACCAGCATAGCTCCCTCGCCCCCTTTTGATCTTGTTATTAATCCATGCATTAGATTTATCTTTACTCTATCACATGTTTGATAATGATTGGATAAGAATAAAAAATAACATGTTAGGTTCACGACGTAACATCAAATCATATGTCAATAATATTGTTCTTCATTCAATGAAGTGAATAATTTGATGCAAAAATATATCACTAATTTTGATTTTAATTCACCGAATTGAATACTACCCCAAGTTAGGGGTGTAACTTGGACGGGCTAATCCGATTTTAACCCAAAAAAAATTAGGGCTTGGGCTAGGGTATTTAATACTTGAGTTGGACTTGAATCAAAAAACCTCAATCCAAATTCAATTTGGACGGGCATAGGGTTAAAGCTATCGGGTTCAAATCGAGCTCAACTCGAATTAATACTATATAAATATAATTTTATCCTAAGGCTAATCTCAACTCAAGTTTGTGTCTCTCTCAGATCCTCACTCACTCTTAATCTCTCTCAAGGATTCTGGTTGTGCAAGGATTTTGTTTAAGCAATGAACTCTATGTTTGTGCAAGGATTTGGTGTGTTTATTTGTGTTTTGTATGATTGTTGTTGCATTATCTAAAATATTTAGTTCTTAATATTATGATTTTTATGTTAAAAACTTGATTGAAGTAACCCGAAATCAGCCCATAAAGTAACTCAAATTCAACTCGAAATCATTGACCCGAATTCAACTCGAGCTTGTTCGAATTAAACTCGAGTAGTGCTCGGGTTGAGTTCCTTAACCCGAGGTAGGGTTAGAGTTAGGGTTAAGGTTGAAGATTATATACTTAAAGTTGGACTAGGGTTGACCGTCCAAATCGTCCAAACCGCCCGAATTGCACCCCTATTCCAAGTGAGTTCCAAATAATTCCATGTACCTATATGGGGTTATTTGATTGTGACTTTGAATTCATAACATTGTCTGAAAAAAAAATAAAAAAATACGTTGCCAAACAAGAAAAATATAAGGCATCAAATTTATTTTTATTTTACCCATCCCTACTCCAATCCGGTGAACCAAACGGTCCCTACGAATGCTTATTTCTTATGTGGCGTGACATATGCAACCCATGGAGAAAAACTGGCATGCTAACATGATTTCAAAGTCTTACGTGGTCTAGTGATGGTATCAAACTTATTTCTCATTTAGATGTTGAGAGTTTGAGTTTTAGAGTTTTTATTAAGGTTCGGTAATTGATTACAATGTTAGCTTAGATAGATATGATTCCAAGAAGTATTTCAGGTGTGATTAAAAATTTTATAATTCTACTGGTGAGAACCTAATGAGATGATCACTTCCAGCTTTTTAGAACTGAACGCAAATCATATTACCAATGCCTCAAATGGAAGAACTTTTATGGTAGGAAGAAACAATTTTGTAGCATTGGACCAAAAGTTAATGAACAAATTGAGTCAAGATTCAATTCAGATAAACTAACATATTCCAGAGAGTCAATTTGAGATCAATCTGAAAACTGGTGATAATCCCAAAATAAAATAGCATATGCAAATTTTGTATGTTTTTTACTCCAACGAGACTATGGCAACGAAATCTTAGACGCATTATATTTTTATTGGGCGAAAAAAAGAGGTATGATAACGAAATTCTTTGGTATTGTAGGGGTGTTAATTTTTGACAATAGACGACAACACGACTCATATTTGACATGAAACTAGTGAAATTTACTTGAATATTTGTCGACATGAACCTCAAAATGACACACACTACTAATATAATTAATAAACATATCCAATTTGAATCGAATACGAATAACTCAAAATTAATGAGATTAACACATTTTATTAGTTATTTTTTTAAAATCTATTTTTACTATTATATATATTTATTGAATTTTTAGTTAATGAAAACATCCTGACCCAAAAAAAAAGTTTATGAAAACACTAATGAGTTTAGTTTAAATATAATAAAAGTTTTGTTTTAGATTTTTGATTCAGAATTACCTGTTTCAATTTGTACAAGTCAAGCCGGGTTAATACTTAAACAAATTATACAATTAGATAAATGAATTGAGTTAAAATTAACTAATTTTGGACGTAAACCCAAATTAACACGATTAAAACGTGAAACGACACATCTGTTATCCATTGTCGTATCCTTTTGTTGCATTTTCCGACATAAAATCATGTACAAGTCAAATTGTCTGCTCTCGGTAGCAACCCACCACGAGGCACCAGACAAATGCAAAGTTTTCTTCATACTTTATAAAGCTGTCTCCTCAAAACTGGCAAAACATACGATGCATCCCCATATTCAGTGGACACAAGCCTTTGGAATTACCCACACGACTTGGCAACGACAAAAAATAGTGACTCTCCCACTCCATCACCATTCCTCTACAACTTCCAAAGCCTAAGAGAGCCTAAAGATTCAAAAACCAAACAAAACCCAAATGGCCTCGAGCAATGTCATACCAGTGATTGATCTTCAAGACTTTCCACAACAGTCATCGAAGCTGGTCTATGCATGTCAAGAATGGGGTTGTTTTAGGATCGTAAACCACGGTGCGATTCTCACGGAACTGCTAATGGGGGAGATGAAGGCGGTGGTGAGGTCACTGCTCGACCTTCCCATGGAAATTAAGCAGCGAAATGGAGATGTTATTGCAGGAAGTGGGTATATGGCACCTACCAAGATCAATCCTCTTTATGAGGCGTTGGGTCTTTACGACACGGCCTCTGTTGAAGCTGTTGATGCCTTTTGTACTCAGTTGGATGCCTCACCTCATCAAAGGTTTTGTGCTCTTTCTTTCATGTTTCTTAAGTAGTATTAATGGTTAGGGTAAACTACACAAATAGTCATTCAACTATGAATCTTGTGTCAATTAACTCTGAAACAATTTTTGTATTAATTGAGTAACAATTAAGTCCATGGACTAATTTTTTTGTATCAATTGAACTCTTAAACTCTAAAATTTTAACAATTAAGTCATTCTGTTAGCATTCGTTAGATTTTTGAATGGAATGTCTCACGTGATCATCACGTGGACAATGGATTAGAGGTATTTTAGATTGTTCATTCAAAATTTATCGGATAAAGAACCTCATTCTTTATACCCATCAACTGAAATCTTAAACCTAAACCTTTTTTATATCCATCAAACAAAGCAAATTAACAAGCCTACTTTGTTTGGCGGGTATGCAAGGGGTTTTGGTTGATGGTTACAAAGAATAGGGTTTTTTGTTTGATAAGTTTCGAATGGACAGTCTAAAATACTCCTAATCTGTTGTTCATGTGGTAAGCATGAGAGCCATTTTGGCCAAAAACTTAATGGCTACTGACTGAAGGACTTAATTACTAAAATTTTAGAGTTTAGGGATTCAATTAACACGAAAATTAGTTTAGAGGCTCTGACCTAATTAACACAAGATTTATATTTTAAGAGTTATTTGTGTAGTTTACTCTAATTGTTAATATCAACATATTCTTATAAGATATTGTATCAAATATTCAAATATACATATCTAATACATAGTATTCGATGATAATAAAATGTTAAGTAAATATTACAATTAGTACTTAAACTTTGCCTTTTGCTTTAAAATTATCTCTGATTTTTTAATTGTTTCAATTTAGTCTTTCTGACTAATTTTTTGTATATTGTTAAAGAATTTATGATAGTTATAAGAATGAAGCGTGACAAATTCCAACACGACATTTTTTGTTTTAATCTTTAACGAATTTGGGTGATAAATGGATGGACTTGCTAGACCTGTGTAATAAATAAGTTGTGTTCAAAGTGAGATATCTTAATCCATTTATCATTTATTAACCCGTTTAATAAATTACATTACTAAATAGGATATATATGATATTTATATATTTTTAGCCTAATATGTTATTTTTTAGTAGGAGTAACACTGGAAATTTTTACATAAATTGTTATAAGAAAAGGTTTAATTGTGGCTGCTAGTTAAAAGGTTTTCGTGTGGAAACCGAATCGACCCTAAACTACTTATTTATTTAATGGGTATGTGTCGTGCCGTATAACTCATTTAGTAAATGAGTCGTGTTTAATTTATTTTTCACTTGTTTGATAAACAAATTATGTATAAATTTAGTGACTTTTAACACGAACCTGCTTAAACCGACAAGATTGTCAGGCCTAATAAAAATATAAAAAAATCCTATGATAGACATATTATAAGCATATCCGCAGCCAAATTTTTTAAGTTTTGTCATATCGACATATACGTATCATACTCGTATCTCGTATCGATATTTGTGCTTCCAAGCTCGATCATCACATATACATTCCAATGCAAATCATTGGTTTCAACTCTCCATTGATAAATGTTGCAGCCTGAAAAAAGTTGCATTTGAAGCCCTGTCCTCTGTTTTTGTGTTCTTGCTTCTAGCTTTCAATCTGTGCATTTTCTTTCTTTATTTTCGTTGGTCTTTATTTTTGCTTTCTCTGCCCTTTTCATCTCCCCACATTGATGCAAGGTATAAACTGCTGAGTAATCTTCTCAAGTGTAAAGAGTAAGCATATCCACAATTGTTTTTAGCCTAGACTCCATATTTGTTAATAAACATTTGTGAAATCACTACAATCCTAGCATCATGAGTCATGACCAATACCACAGGTATTTTTCACTGAATAACTACTACATTTGACCCTCTCTAAACTCTGTAGTGATGGTTTTACCGGAAGCATATTGAAGTGTTTTTTTCCTTGAAGCTGCTTTCAAATACACCTTACTAATTGTTTTTTCAGTTGCAATTAATACAGAGAGATAATTGTGAAGTATGCTCAAGCAATACATGAGCTGACCATGGATATTGCTCAGAAACTGGCCAAAGGTTTGGGGATATCGGGGGTCTTATTCGAGGAATGGCCTTGCCAGTTTAGGATCAACAAATACAACTTCACTCCTGAAGCTGTAGGTTCCTCCGGTGTACAAATCCACACCGACTCTGGTTTCCTTACCATACTTCAGGATGATGAAAATGTCGGTGGCCTCGAAGTCATGGACAAATCTGGTGCATTTGTGCCTGTAGATCCATGGCCAGGCACTCTCATTGTTAATCTTGGAGATATTGCTAATGTGGGTAATAAACTCTGCTTATGTTTTTTGTTAGTTGGTCTTGTAAAATCTGGATCGTCCGGCGTTTGATTCGCCGATGTTTGTTTGTTTTTTTTTCAGGCATGGAGTAATGGAAGGTTATGTAATGTGAAGCATAGAGTAGAATGCAAGGAAGCAACAATACGTGTGTCGATTGCTTCGTTTATGTTGGGGCCAAAGGGTGTAGCTGTGGAACCTCCACCGGAATTAGTGGACTCTGCACACCCTCGGATGTATGTTCCGTTCACTTTTGAAGAATACAGGAAGCTACGACTCTCAACGAAGTTGCAAGCTGGCGAAGCTCTTGCTCTCGTACGATGCTAACTCCTGAAAAAATAAGTAGCATAGTTCATTCTGTTCTTGTCCTTCTTTGTGGTGGAAAACAAACAAGAACACTGCTTTTCCAATCAAATTGAGAATTACAAATAATACAACCTTTGAAGCTGGTGTTGTTATTTAGATCAATCAGTGTCAAGGCCTTGTCCTATAGATATTTTCAGGGTATCTTGAAGAAGCCTCAGCTTCATCGGCTGGAATCATAAATGGGTTGTCTCCTCTCTGATGATGCTTTCTACATGTTACTGCAAGTGGTCAAAACTTTGACCCTTCTTCCTTCAAATTATGTTGTCGTATGCAAGTTCAACTTATGAATAAAAACTGTGTTTGTTCACAATTTGTTGCCATGATAAACACATTACAAGGGCTATGTTATAAAGACTGAGACCTTCCAAAAATTGATGAGAGAATGCAAGTCTTTTTTACTGACTTGAAATCACAATGTCCCTTATCCCGTATTTATAATCTGTCATAAATTATGTTGATAATCAATTTCACTCGATGTATCGTTTTAGCATAAAATTGCTATACTCTGTAAATTCAGAAAATTAGTGGAAGGATGATGATCAAACAACTGTGGAACATATGCTTTTGTCAAACTGTTAGATACAACATATTAAAGAACAAGAAAAATCTTATAGGACACCACCAATCATACTTTACACTGGCAATCCTTCCTCCCCCTCCCTTCTCTCACTAAACAAATTGATGCGAAAACATGAAGATGAGGAAAACAAAATGAAAGAGGGAAAAGAGGATGGAAATCTTAAGATCTCCGAACCAACCTTAAGTACAATGAAGAAAAAACTATTTGAAGGAAAAAGAAAAGTGACACATTGGTTATATTTGTTTACAAAAGAAACTAAACCAAAGGGTACTGGTCAGAAAGGAGAGATTGTGGACTCCACCCAGAACTATACTGAGATGTTGTAATGGACGTGGTGTTGGCTGTAGTAGTATCTCCATCCACTGGCAGCATAGCCGGCCACACAAAAGCTGGCTTGAATGGTGGAACATGGGGCGTTGGCACTGTCCCTGATATAATCTGAACGATCGCTTGAGTTTTAGGCCTCTCGCTTGCTATGGGATGCGAGCAAGCCAGCCCCAGCAGCAGAATTCTCTCAGCTTCGTCAACAACGTAGTCATCCCCAAGCCTCACGTCGACAGCATCCGATAGCTGGTCCTGACGGTGCAAGGACCATACCCAATCGACCAAGAATTGGAACCCCTCGATCTTGGTTCCTGGCCTTAGGCCACAAACTACCTCCAACAAGACCGCTCCAAATGCATAGACATCGGATTGCTGTGTGGCCTTACCAGTGTGGAAACACTCTGGCGCAATGTAACCTATGGTGCCTAGTACTCCCTCGGCCTCAGCATATGAGGTCTTCTCATTGTCGAGGGCACGTGCCAGGCCAAAGTCACCAAGACGCGCGTTGAAGTTGGAGTCTAGCATGATGTTGCTGGCCTTAAGGTCACGGTGCACCACCTTCTGGTCAAATTCATTGTGAAGATATTGTAGAGCCGAGGCAACCCCGGATATGATCTTGTACCGAAGTTTCCAGCTTAGGGACTCCGTTTTAGCACCCGCAAAGAGGTGCTTGTCGAGGCTGCAATTGGGCATGTATTCATACACTAGTAGTAGGTTATTGTTCTTGTGGCACCATCCTGCCACATAAACACATTGTTAGATACATATTTGTGTGTTCTCATGCTAGAAATGTAAATTTAACAATTAATCGGGAAGGCATGAGTGGTAATCATATTGTTATGAACATGTTGATAGCACTAAGTTGTTTCATTTTGGACTAGGAATATAATTCTGATAGGAGATGCAGAAAACAATTCAGTGAATGTTCACTTTCTAGTGAGAGTTTTGTTACTAGTAAAATGGTAATGGTAGTTTAATTAATTAAAAATAAAAAAAAATTAATTATCATGTTGTCTCATAGAGATTTATTCTCCAAATTGTTCCTACGTAGCCTTGCTTTAGCAATCAGACTACAGAGGGGCATATCATGGTGTAATAAGCAACAAGACATGTTCAATCACCAAGTGAATTGTTTTGCTAGCTTTAAATTAATCTCCTAAGCTGCTGCAAGCGCAACTAAAACATTTCTCTGTTAAGTACAGTCCATCAGAGAACTTAATGGTCCATTTGGTATGATGGAGAAGTCGTAGGCTCAAAAATAGAAATGATTATATCATGTTTGTCTAGAAAGAAAAAGTGGAAGAGAGGAAAAGTAAAAAAATAATCTTCCTTCCAACTCACCAAAATATCTCTCCAAAATGAACAGAGAATTGGAAGAATGGTTAATTATGTGTGTTGAAATGTAAGTTATTTACCTCTATATCCTTTAATATATACATATATCTTATTAACCTATTACATTTTAGGTGTATATTAATTTTCCTATGGATACAATTGTAAGACATGCATGTCTACTTTTGACTTTTGTCCACTTTCTATCCACACTAAACATGAAAAGAAAAAAAAAAAAAAAATTCTCCTACTTTTCATCCTTCCTACTAGACGCGAAAAAAGTGAATTACTTCCATTCATCCTACCTCATTAATCATGAAAAGTAGTTTCAAAGGAAGGTGTTAACACTAAACATTCATGGGCCAATCTATCCCAGAAAAAAAAAATCCATTCAAATTTGACAGTAGATTAACCAGATGGTCAACATGAAAAATGAAATGAGTCGGTGCAGACTTTGGGGTCCTTTAAGTGGGTTAGATTCCTCCAAATTGGCAGCTAGTACCACCTATATCCAAGTTCAATTCTATTCTCCATGGCCTACCTCAAGCATCATTTTTTACTTCTAGGGGCCCTCAAATGACAACAAACATGCATTATAAATGCACAGTTGTTGGCCATGATGACAATGGTACGATTAAAAAACAGTAATGTTACGATGATTAAATTTTAGAATCAAATTTGGAGTCTAAATGACATAATAGTATATTATTTAGAGTTTTTATTGAGACCCAAATGACATGACACCAAATAAAAAAGCCCAAGTTAACTACCATGTTATTTAAACTTTAAATTTAATTTTAAAATTTGATTAGTGTAGTATTAGTGACTAAAAAAAGACCCCATGTCAAAGTAAATGAAAATTAGTAATGGTACCGTGATAGTAATGGTACAATCAAAATTCTCTCTCTATCAAGTCAAAGTAAATGAAAATTAGTTTCAAAACTAAACTTCAATGGCAATGGCAATGGCAATGGCAATGTCAATCTCACGAGCGAAGCTTCTACTAGAGTTATTTAATTGCAATGAACAAGTTATTTAGATTCATCATAGTAATTGACTTTATATGCAGGCGTGGAAATTAGCGGAAGGTTCCTCTCTCTCATTACGTGTAGCACTAACAACCTCGACGATGATGAAGTCCATTGTCATCAAAGGGTGGCTCCAATATTCAACAATGAATAACCACAAACACGAGGCTGAAAAAAGACTCGGATGTCTTGGCTTCTAATAGACTAAGTTCTGTCGATAGTGAACAAAAATTCAAAAAAAAAAAAAAAATTCACAAGCCAAAGGGGACGCCTGGATTGAAAATTAAAC